TCTTCGTTAAGATTGAAATCAAGCGGAGTGGTTAATTATGATTATTTTGTAATTTTTTTTTCTCAATTTTAGAGTTCGAATGCAGATTTTTTTTTAGCGACCTCAGCTTCCAGGTCGACCCAGCCTAAAATAGGTGCCAAGTAATGCCCTGGAAGGTAAAAGTGTCCGTATGTGCACCACGTCTTCGATCACTAGACAATAAACTTATGAGCCTAGCGTCGATGGCTGGGCGGAAAGGTTCTTTTAATTTAGTAGTGTATTATCTGTAGAGAAAAAAAGTATTATACAGCCTAGGACAATTCCGGCCGGCTGACATAAATATCTCAAACAAAGCACATTTAGTCCCATTCTATGCTACCAGTGCCAGATATGGTCACTCGTAGCAAACTAGGAAAGAAATTTATTAGTAACCATGGAAATGAAATGAGACGCGTATGAACCGCTTCAGACAGGACCAGGGAACATACAGTCAGAGATAAGTCACGCGAGACACAGAATCAGTTCTAAATTACATAATATTGCAAATCAAATGCTTAAACGAATACAAGTCATGCACTATTTTTAATTAAGGATTCACACCATAACACGCGGGACACCCCCATAAGCGCCTGGTCCTCATCTTCAGCAGCTTGCAAGGATTTCCTATTCCAAAGATACCATTAACTGTCTGATTGCATATGTGTCTCCCTTTTTCCCTGACTTTCGACCGTCGAGCCAGATCTATGGTAAATTTTTGCATCGCCATTATCATCAGACCGAAATGATCTATCTGTGCCTTCGCACTATTCGCTTGATGAGACAGGGCCCTTACAACATCTAGCTTGACAAACATCAATTAACCAAGTGATGCAGAACCGGTCAGTCTATCCGCCTGCTCATTTCCCAACACACCAGCATAGGCTGGAGAAAAAAATTTGAACGGTGCTAATAACCGGAGACCTCGGGAATTGATGCTTGCCACTCTGCACGGATCATCCAAGTCTCCACCTTTCTCAGCATGCTCTGTGAGTCAGTTACAATCACCCCATGTGTGTATAGCTGATTCTCCAGACAGCAAAAAGCAGCAGTGACCGCCTTCACTTCCATTCTCAACAAAGAGCCATCTGTATTGATAATCACTTCACCTGGGCCTAAATTGTCATGAATCACTTGTTAAACTTCTGATTCCGCAGCACCAGCTGACCAGTCCCTGCACTCACGACCTAATGTGAAGAACCCTAGAGTCCTATACTAATCTGAAACTTTAGGCATGCACTAACAGAGAGAAAGGGCTAGAGCATCATGTAGACAAGAGGGGAGGATAATATCAGAGAACTCTAAAACACGTTAGGACCAGAAAAGCAAGCAGCAAAACCGTATATCTCCGATATCCAAAGTGGTGAAAAGTAAAAGAGGAAGGGAAGAAGAAAAATACCTTAATGTGATAACAATATGATGTGTTATCCATATTATGATGCGATGCAATATTCTGTATATTTTTTAAATATAAAGTGTCTCCAATAGTTGTTTTATAAAAATTGTAACATAAGAATAATAATATGAAGTAAATTTTTGTTGACTACAATAACAATATGTCGTACACCTATTTGGGCAGTAATGTAGATAAAGATGGAGGAACTGATAGATATATTAAAATAAGAATACAAAAGGCAAGAAGGCTTTGATAGCACTAGGGAATTTGTTGAGGTCAAAAGAAGTAAAAGAAATACTAAACTAAAATTTTTGAATTCTAATGTCAAATCAGTACTATTGTATGGTGCGGAAACATGGAGAACAACCAAGGCAATTACTAATAAATTACAGACGTTTATTAACTGGTGCCTGCTCAGAATAGAGGGAATTAAATGGTATGAAAGAATAACTAATGTAGAACTTTGGGAGAGAACTAAACAGGCTCCAGTGGACCAAGAGGGGAGGAAAAGACGCTGGCGTGGGATAGGACACACACTGAGAAAACAGGAGAACAGCATAACTAGAATGCCTTTGCATTGGAACCCACAGGGGCATAGGAATAAAGGAAGGCCAAAAAACATATGGAAAAGAGAGCTGGAAAATGAAGAGGGATGGGGGTAGCTCCATGCAATGGCGAAGGATAGAACGACTTGGCGTGAGTTGGTTGAGGGCCTATGCTCCATTGGGGGATAGAAATTCAGAAGAAGAAGAAAAGAAGACAAAAACAATATGGGAACACAAATTTTAAAGCTACACAATAGTTAATAACATATTTAATATGCGTCTGTTTAAAAAGCATGAATATGTTGTGTGAAACGGAAACATCGACAGCTGTATGCGCAGAAAGAGAATAAATAGTATGATATAATCCTGAGTGTTTAGTTTGGAAAAGAATCAGACTCCACAGAATCCAGAGGCGAGTAAATATACTGGCGCTGGTAGGACACGCTTGGAGACAACCTGAGAACAATACAACTAGAATGTCTTAAACTCTTTACACTAGAAGTCACAGGGAGCGAAGCTGGGAAAATGAGGATTTAGTGTGAGGTATGTGCGATACCCAACGGTGGGACCACTTGGCTTGAGTTAGTTAGGGCCTATGCTCCACTGTAGGATAAAGAGAAGAGAGAGGGACAAGGAGCACTTTCTCACAGGCCGTCTTGCCATCTGGCAGCTTAAATGCTGAGTTCTCCAACCACCACCACAGCCAATATTAGTAATAATAGGTTAGTTGCGTATCTTTTACAGGACGTTGCAGAACCAACCCCAACAGCCCCTGGATGTTGTGTGGTTTTTCTAGACAAATTTACGTCCAGTAGTTTGCCATTGCTTTCTGGAGGGTCGGCTTTCTTGATACCACTGTCGAAACCAACGCAAGGCGCATGGCCTGCAGTTAGGATCGAACCCGGCATTACGAAGCGTTCGCATCGACTTAGCCACAGAGCTGACATACTAGTAATAATACTACTGCATAATTAAACACGGCTTATGCCTTTTTATCCCGCACCCCCACCCCCTCCTAAGCCCACTTATATTTGTGTGTTAATCCGAAGATATGATTGCGCTGGGTCTGTTTAAAGCATGGTTGCGATATTTGCGCTTTTCGGCCGATATCCGACTTCTACGGGCATTTGTTGACTGGGTAAGCTATCCCGGTTGGTTTCGTGGCTACTCTAATTAGAATGGCTTAATAATAATGTTACTACTACTCAATTAAACGAGGCAAAATCTCTTTAGCCGTCCCTCCCTCACCCCTTTTCAATGAGAATTACCAGACACAAAAGGCTCAGTCTTCCTTTCTCCTTTGGGTTATTTTTTCATATTTCCAAATCTCTCCGTGTGAGTTCCGATGCCCCATTGTGGGAGAAAACAAGAATAAACTCACTGCGTCCCCAACAAGCATGTCGTAAGAGGTGATAAAATTTGGAGCCTCCATCAAAGTCAGAGTGCATCTGCCTGAGAGGCAAGGAACCAACAGTATGCTTACAGATAAGCAAGATGCGTAAAACAGATATACACGCAAAACACAGGTCTTGAAACAAAGCCGCAAGTCTAGAAATGGACGAACTAAAAAGTCTTTCCCTATGTGAACGCAAAGAAACAACAAATTTCTAAACTGTGTCTAGTAAGCCAGAACTGTCCTGGTTATGATTTTGTTATTGTGTACTAAAGCGAAAAAATGCCCATCATATTGGCGGAGGTTTAAACCAGGAACTCTGATATGTAAGCCATGTGTACTAAGCGTTCGGCTAGCCACTTCTTAATGAAGAAGTAACAAATATTTTTTTTTAATGCCAATACCGTCTAATTATACACTTTAGCACACAGTAACGCTTGTTTTAAAAAAAAACGTAATGATAATAATAACTACCGGTGTATGAGATAGTTTCAATTTCTTACTACTAACACATGACAAAATGGTTGAACACTTTTTGTCAAGTATGTTCATTGCTTTAAATGTTACAGGAAGATTCTTAGAATATCGCGGGATAAAAAAAAAAAAGTAAAAATACTTACACATGTTAGGATCTTAATAATTTTAATGGGGACCTCGATCATATTACACGCCATAATGGTTAGAAAAAAATAACCCATGTGTTTGGTATTGTTTCTAGAAGAAAAGGCAGGGGTCGACCAACACGACTGGGAACAGGGTAACGGCGGCCCGGGCATCAAAGTTCACGGAACGAGAAAGCCAGCAAAATTATGCACGGGACATAGGCATGTCGGTGTTGGTAGCTGATTTTGCTATTCTTCCTTTTCTCTACTCCTGCATTGCCTTACAGCTTCAGGTCATGAAGAGATCCCTGGAACGGACCCTTCTGTTCGCTTCGTATATAATACTTTTCTGTGTCTCGGATATTTCTGCGGTCCATATTCTGCGTGGTCGACCTCTGGCTCTGTTACGGCGGTATATGTACAACATTGGCTTTTGGTTTTGTGTCGATACTCATTTTTGTATCGTTACTATACCGATTTTTCCTTGGTACGCCTAGCAAAGTGCGTAAAAATTATATTTCTGCCTAGACTATTTGTTTTTTGTCTTCTGAAGAAAGTGTATGCGTTTGACACTGAAAGCATTCCACTGTTAGGAAAAATTTGTTCCACTGTGCTTTTTTAGTGTTCATGCTCATGTGCTTGCATTTCAGTATTGGTGCTATAACTTGACTGGCTTTGTTGTATTTCTTTATTCACTTTCTTTTTCCTCAAAATATTTTCCCTTGATGTGTAAAGTCCCTGGCCTACGTTAACCGATGTTTACTAATTTTGATTGCTATTCGGTCATCTTATATTTGATTGAATTATGACACTTTTTCTTATTATGGTGCATTTTATATTATTAAATGATACGCGTATAGAGTAATATTCTGGTTTCTTTGTTAACAGGTGATGACAGCGTTCTATATATGAACCTCCATAGACACTTTGGTCAGCTGACTTATTTGAGCGGATAGTGTAATTTTGTGTCTGCAAGTGGATCGTCCACAAGTGAACATATTCTCGGAATAACTTCTGTAAACTACTGTGTAACCAGAGCAACCTAAACCATGCCGACATCTCCTGGTGGTCCGGTGCTAGCAACAGCAAGGCCCAGCACTAGACAAGCTTCCAGCTCAAACTTCCGTTCTGAAAGTTCCGCTGCTAGATGCCGTGTCTTCCAAAGAAGAGATCAGAAGCTACTTAAAGCTAAAACCCAACCACAGTTAGAAAATGCCCAATTACGATACAGAGTAAATTTCACATATTCTGCAAGATGCCCAGTCTCCATGCCTGCAAACAACACAGCCAAGCCAACAGCCCTGTCTACACGGGTCTACCCAGGGGGATGTCTTGCATATATTCGTTATTTACAGTGGATAATTAGGTTGATTGTGTTTCAAATGGATTTATTTCATCAGAGTTTAGAAAAGTCAATTAGGCGGTTGCATCGTATAATAGATTCAGATACCGTTAAATTAAAGAACAGAGTTAAAATAATGAAATGTAAAAGAGTTAAAGGCAATAACTTAGTCAAAGGACTACAGAGCCTTAATGCCAAGAAAGATTCAGTTAAAACGTGTTCAAAACGAACCTTGAACCTGCTGCACGTTAGAAAACGTTTATGCGACGATAGCATAAGAGTAGAAATTAGGCTGCTGGACTCCAAATTAGCACCGCTTCCTCAAGGTGTGGTCCCACAACGTAAATTTGTGGATTCTAAAATGGCTTCAAATACTCGAGATTTCAACGAGAAAATGAAACGTCTGACATCGAGGTACTCGTCGTTTTGTAAGATGTTTAGTGACGATTTTATGGTTGTTGACATCTAATAAACATAACTGCAAAAGTTAAGTTACTTGTGAGTACATTTGTGCGCGCAATTACTTCTTGAAATATAGTGTAATCAATCATAGTGTGATATGATAAATGATTTCAAAATATTGCAACATGATACAAATTGTGGCTTTTGAAACTTTATAAGTGTACATATATTGTGTGTATTTTGTTTTTAATAGCTCCTTCCTTTGTGACTTTCAATATTAGTTAGTTAGTTGGGTTATCATCATTGCACTCCGGACATGTCCGTAGGTGCTCAGATCCTCCCCTCAGTATGAACCCCAACGTCCGAGGGCTAATAGTATCAGTTCTATGTTGATTAACAAGTCGTCTGCTGTGCGTCTCGTTTTTTGCTGTGCCGATCCTTATTGTCAAGTCTGCTATTCTGGCGAGTGATGTGGATTCACTGCCACCAAAGTCCTCTATCCTTCCCATTTCTCTGAGGGCATTGATAATATCAGCATGATCCATAGGCTGACCGTCGGTAGTGATAGCGGATCCAATATGACTTTCAATATAATTATAGTGAGAACCAGAGTTCTTCGAGATACCAGTTAAGAAAGGCTAAAGATGAAGTTCGACTTCTGCATAACACACAATCTGATCAGTAAAGAGAGATCGTGTGTAGCTTATTCACTTCAGTCCCTCTCTCGATCTGCTTTATTAATTGCAAATGTACGCTACTACTAACATGTATGAAACATACTATCTTTTGAGATATAAAAATTTCAAAATATGAGCGGAAATGGCGTCAGTATGGTTATGATTTTTTTGAATTAATTACATTTCTAATTGTGTTCGTATGTCATGAAAGCCAGGGAAGAGCAGTCAGGCTGCGTGGTTACTGTCTCGGTCAAATTTGTAGGCTTTGACGCTTCATGTGGGGGTGGTAGGAGATGTCTGCAAACAAAGAAATAGGCTCGGGAATTTGTTCACAAATGACAAAATATATAGGAGACTAGTCTGGGGGAAGCAAGAAAATAAATACTTAAATGGCTTGGCTTGACTCAAGAGCATTGACCTGATCTGCGACTATGCGTATCGGCACGGCTTATCCGTTGATTGTGATGTCACAAGTAAAACAGGGTGGGAGGGGACGGATTGACTTTTTAATTATTATTATTGAAAAGATGGAGATGGGTCAAAGGGTTTGAAAAAGATTGGTATAAACAGAAAAGAACAAACAAATTCAGTAAGAAATATCTTACGAAGACACAATAATATAATGTCTGCTTGTATAAACGTTTTCATTTCAATAATATGGGAATAGTTTCCGCGGGAATCTCTATTATCGAAACGCACAAATGGGCATTCTCCCACAAACTGCACTTTAACTCACCGCTGCAAAGTACAAGAGAATCAAATGAGATAAGAACCTCAACGATCTGAACAGCAGGGAAGCTTTGCGAGTAAACAGCGTCTTGTCTCGGAAACAAAGAATTTTGTTAACATAAAGTGTCACAGCGAATTGGGCAGAATATTAGCCGAAGGCATAGTGTCAAGAAAGAGAGGCAAGGGCCGACGAGTACGTGACAGAAGTAGCACCTTGGGTAAAAAATTGCACGAGGTAAGTGTAATGACTGGAGTCCGAGCTTTCTTCAGACAGGATGTGATAAGAGAGACGTTCTGCAAAGGACATGTTATGATGAAGATGACGATTATGAAATGAGGTCATCTGTCCCCAGCCAATTATGTATGCCAATTTGGTGGGTGAATATGCCTCAGTAAATGCGAAGTAGGGAACGTAAGCTTCACTGGTTGGGTTATGGATCGCAACTGTTTTGTGTGGGTTTCACGCTTCTATTATACATTTAAGTCTTACATAACGTGAACTAGTACAGTGATCAGTGTGTCTGCCCGCCATGACATGTTCTGGATTTAGTCCCCAGAGGCACCGGTAAACGGATACTGACCAATATGGCTCTGGGACGACACTGTCCTTCGAAATGACCTGCCAGCGGGCAATTTCAGAATTTACAAGGACTTTAAGAGGATAGAAGTGCGGAAAAAAAAAAGCAACCTCAGATAGTCGGGTGACATAACATGTCTAGAATGTTCAATACTTAAATGTTTTTTAGAGTAGGCAACAAATTTAGAAATTGACTGTTCCGGGCATAAACGGTTATATTTGTGCAGTTGAAAATGTTTATTATTAAAATATTGTAACAATTTTAATCAATTGAAAAATTTTGAATGGTAATTTTTGAATGCATCGTACTTATTGCATGTTGTTTGTGTTTTCTGTGTATATTTAAAAAAAAAACAATTAGAAAGTCATACTGACCCCCTGACGTTGTGGATATTCACAAGAAAAAGCAGCTCTTTTTTAAAAACAAAAACAAATTAAATACGGTTGGTTGATGCCATCCGTCAGTCCCGGGGGACTATGGAGATGTGCCGCTGGCTTTGGGAACAGCATCTGCTGAGACTGTAAAGTCCGATGCGGGAATGGCAGCCTTTGCCACACAGGATACACACAAAAGCAGATACTCCCTCGTTGTGAGGCAGTTTTACTCTCCGGTGCCTCCTCTCCACAGCTCGTTGTGTTCGGTTTCTTTCAAAATGTGACAGTCCATCTTTCACTTTCTGTCTCCATAGTAGTCGATCTGCAGCTGATTTTTCCTATGTCTCTGTGCCTATGTTGGCATCTATTAGGTCACGTTTGCATACATCTTTATAGCGCAGCTTTGGCCTTCCTGTAGGTCTATTCCCAGTTACCAATTCACAATATAGGACATCTTTTGGAATATGACCATCCTCCATGCGGGAGACATGTCCCAGCCAGCGCAGAAAAATACACAGCTCTCGAAAGGTTATGGATTTTATAAACATATTTGCTGGCGATAAAACAGACAAGTGGAATATTTCGGTCATTTTAAACTGTCCAAAAAATATATTGATATTTTAAGGAGCTGAATATTGAGGATGCCTGGCTTGTAAGTATTGTTTTTTTACACCTCCCCCCCCCCCCACCCTTCCTGTTTAAGAACGGAACTGAAATGAGGTGGCATACCGCCCCATTTTAAGTATGTTTACGCATTCTACATGATTTCATATATATAGTTGTTTACCATTCATTATAGACAATATATCAGAGATCCTGAGGCAACACGGACTAACAACAACACATGCAACACACCTGGCCCAGGATAGAAAACTGCGACTCCCCACTACGCTGTGAGGCAATTGTGGACAAGACAAGACCATTCAGCATTCAGTAATAATTGCAACAGTGATAGCAATAATGAATACGACGAGTTCAGCTCCCTAGACAATTTTAAAGACCGTTGAGCCTCCCCTCTCCCAAAGATATCTTTGTGGTTTATGCCACCAGTACTTGGAAGTGATACGGAAAGTAAAAGCGCTCCGTCATGATCTGACTACTTTACTCACTGTTCTGACTCGCATGTCAGACCGAGCCTTGCCTCAAACGTCCGATACACCATTGGCATGCTCAAGGTCGTTGACTTTTTTTTTTTACTCACATGAGGGACTGGTTGTTAACAATCCATGTGGACAACACTGACTCCTATAGATGGAAGCAAAGGCGCCAAAACCTGGTGGCTCAAGGCCCTTGTGCGCCTCCCTCCGCGCTGCTAACCCAAACCTTTACCTTCCAGACATTGAATGTGGGGGCCGCTAACCCCCCCCCCCCCGCAACCTAATATAGAATATAGGGTGGGGGGAGGCTGCTCACACAACCTCCCTCCCCTCGCGTTTGTCGACTAAACAGCCCTGGCTAAGAAAAGAAAAGAAAACATGTATCAAATTTCTCTTTTCAAATATTTCTTTGTATCTTTCTCTACTTCTTCGTCGCACGCTCTGGCTCTAGACTCAGGCGGACAGTTCTGGTTGTTCATTGACTTCCGGACTCTAGACCTCTTGCAGAACCTCAATGTTTCGTGCACATCCGTTTCAGACATCTGGCTAATTGCCACTCTTAACAGAACCAAACGCACGTGGAACCTGATCGCTGAAATCAAGAAGGACGGTAAGGAGACGCTGCAGCTTCCTATTGAAATGCTTGAAAAAACTTTACTGAACTTTCTGTACAATATTGCGCATCCCCTGTGGCGTACTTCTGAACATTAACTACTCGTAACTGCGTAGTAGTCTTATGATGGATGATGTCATCAAGACCTGTAAGGAGAAGACAAAGAAGTACTCTGTAGGGTGCTGGAAGATAAGACCAATCTGTATATCAGAGCTGGCTTTTGCAGATGATGTGGCCCTGATAGCTAAATCAGAGGCACACCTTCAGTCCAACTTACTTGTCTGGAAGGAAGAGATTGAAAAGAGAGGGATGATCATCAGTATCTCCAAAACTAAAACCATGGTGATCTCAAGAGAGGAGAAGAAACACCAGATCATAATGGGACAGTATGCATTGGAGCAGGTTAACCAGTTCAAATACCTTGGAGTTGTACGTGACCAAAACGGAGGCATTAAGACTAAGCTGGCTACACGAAAAGCAGCTGCTGGGAGACTCTTCCGGGCCATAAACCGAGGGTTTCTTAGCAAAAGAGAAATTGGCAAGAGGACGAAAATGGCTGTTTACAGCTCTACCCATGTACCAGTCCTGACCTATGGGTGTGAGTCATGGGCAATGACAACAGCTCACAGAAGCCAGCTGCAGGCCTCGGAAATGAGATACCTGAGAAAGGTGGTCCAAGTGACAAGAAGGGACAAAGTCCGCAATCAGACAATACGTCAAGATCTTGATACCCAGCCCTTACTAACCCGAGTAGATCAGTCACAGTTACGATGGTTTGGACATGTATGCAGAATGGGAGAAAATCGGCCACCATGGCAAGCATGGGAGGCTAAGAACCAGGGAACCAGACCTCCGGGACGACCCAGGGTGCGCTGGGAAGACAACATCCGACTGTCCCTAACTGACAGAGGACTGGAATGGAACAAAGCCAGAAAGAAAACTGCGGATAGAGACGTCTGGCGATCTCTCTGGCAAACCTCTACACCCCAAGGTAGAAGA